TTATAATATAAAGCGGGGGAAACCCCTTTTTCTTACAATTGATATATGCCCAGTTCTATTTAGGGTTCATGTTTGAAGTGTAATTTGCTGTCTGACACAATCCAACGCAATCCACGGGTGGCTCTCTCTGTCTGTCACCGTCTGGTCTGATATAGGCGCAGGCAGGTGAACATTTTGATTATTGAGAACACAGAAATGTCAGCACACAGCTGAGTCTTAAACACTCGTCGTAGCGAATTTCTCCTTGCACAAGCAGCACGAGCACAAGCAAATCAAGTCAGCACACACGCACGCACATATAAGCTTCTTTCAGAAGAAGCTTATAACCAGTACTAATTTTACATCACAGCGGGCTTCAGTAGCAGGCTGGCAGTTGGAATAGAAGCAGCCTGACACCTCATGGCGACCAAACAAAGCGAACTAAACACTGAACAGCTACCATAATCCAAATTATAGATTTTCACCTAGCAATCTAGAGTTCCATCTCAGGTCGCGTGCTTGTCGTCCTTGAGATGGCGCACCTTCTCCTTCTCCTTCCACCTAGCAATTTTTGTTGTTTTTAAACTATATGAAAGCACTCAACAGAAATAAATGACTCTCTAAAACTTTCGGGTTGTCTCTCTGGCAGCGCTTTCTTTAAAGCCATTAAGCTAGGCATATAGTGCTTAAATAATGGATCCACCCGGATCCCAAGGTATATCAAAGCCAATTTTAATTAGCAATGATTTGTAATTTAGCAGTGAGCACAAAGTAACATATATCATGCAACAACGAAGTCTAACTCTCTTCCTATGCATCGACATGTCATAAAAGAACAATTCATGTACACATAGTAAAGGCCAATGCATAGTATAAACAATTTCTTGCAATTTTATTGTATTGGAAATATAGAGAGGTGGAGATATAGTTCCTCTCTCATAATAATTGCAAGTAGGAGCAGCAAGCACATGCATATTATACTCATCAAAATCATCATGTGTAGTAGTAAAAGACAACCCATCAATATAATCCTTATAAGGGCAAACTTCTCCGATATAGTGTAGTTGGGAGAATTCAAAAAGATAATAGGACTATCATGCGTGGGTGCAATAGCAACAATTTCATGTTTAACATAAGGAACTATAGCAAGTTCATCTCCATAAGCATAATTCATATTGGCATCCTGGCCACAAGCATAGCTAGCATCATCAAAAAGGGATATTTCCAGAGAATCAACGGGATCATAACAATCACCATAGCAATCATCCTTCGGTAAGCACGAAGGGAAATTAAACAATGCATGAGTTGGAAAGTTACTCTCATTAGAAGGTGGGCACGGGTAGCTAATCCGCTCTTCCTCCTTTTGTTCTCCGCTCTCCTCATCATCTTTTTCATCCAAGGAGCTCACAGTTTCATCAATTTCTTCTTCCATAGATTCCTGCAAAATATTAGTCTCTTCTGGGACAACGGAGTAGTCCTCAATATATGGTTCAACATAAGCATTGAAGCATAATTATCATAGCAATATTTAAGTATGTCAAAATTTTCAGATTTGTAAAGAATAGCATCATACGTTTCAATCAAAAAAGCAATTTCATAAGCACCCTTAAAAGCAATAAATTCTTTAATTTGTTGAACATCATAGTAAATATAAACACCCTTGGCATACGAAGATACAATTCCATTATCAATAAACTCACATTGGTAGGAAAGGTGTTTCTTAGGGTTTTCAGAACAACAAATAATATCATATATTTCACATAAATTCCAAGCATAGCATTGCAAACGATGAATTTGACCCAGTAAAAGTTTCCCTTTTTCAGATATACGGTGTCGCACATAACAAGCATGCTCATCTAAAGATTTGCCCTCAACTAAGCTAGTTGGGGTTTCAGCACGAGCACATAGGGATCAAAGATGATTCAAGTAATAAACTTCAGGAGTGTGGTAGATTTTGAGTGGTTCTTCAACCATTGGTTCAGTAGGTACAACTAATTTTTTTGGTATTTTGCGTTTCCTACCCATAACTAAAGATAGAAAACAATTAAGAACAGCAAATAAAAATTACTTAGTGATAAAGCAAGCAAGCACACACGAGAATATTCACCCCATGCTATTGCTCCCCGGCAACGGCACCAGAAAAAGGTCTTGATAACCCACAAGTATATAGGGGATCGCAACAGTTTTCGATAAGTAAGACTGTCGAACCCAACGAGGAGCTAAAGGCAGAACAAATATTTCCTCAAGTTCTATCGACCACCGATACAACTCTACGCATGCTTGATGTTCGCTTTACCTAGAACAAGTATGAAACTAGAAGTACTTTGTAGGTGTTTTTGGATAGGTTTGCAAGATAATAAAGAGCATGTAAATAAAAAGTAGGGGCTGTTTAGGTAAAGACACAACTAGGTTAGTTTTAATATAGAGCTTTTTGTTACGAGAAAGTTATTTGTTCCTAAGCAATAGATAACTAGACCGGTAATCATTATTGCAATTTTATATGAGGGAGAGGCATAAACTAACATACTCTCTCTACTTGGATCATATGCACTTATGATTGGAACTCTAGCAAGCATCCGCAACTACTAAAGTTCATTAAGGTAAAACCCAACCATAGCATTAAAGCATCAAGTCCTCTTTATCCCATACGCAACAATCCCCTTACTCGGGTTTGTGTTTCAGTCACTCACGCAACCCACTATAAGCGAATCATGAACGTATTGCAACACCCTACAACGGGGATCCCTCACGCTTGCACGACACGGAGAGCACCATAGGACAGCACCAATAGAAAAACATGCAACTCAAACCAATCACGATCATCAAATAACCCATAGGACAAAACGGATCTACTCAAACATCATAGAATAACCATACATCATTGAGAAATAATATATAGCGTTGAGCACCATATTTAAGTAGAGATTACAACGGGTAAAAGAGGGGTTACACCACTGCATAGAGGGAGGAATAGTTGGTGATGATGGCGGTGAAGTTGTTGGTGAAGATTGCGGTGATGATGATGGTCCCCGGTGGCACTCCGGTGCCACCGGAAGCGAGGGGGAGAGAGCCCCCCTCCTTCTTCTTCTTCCTTGACCTCCTCCCTAGATGGGAGAAGGGTTTTCCCTCTGGTCCATGGCTCCATGGCGTGGGAGGGGCGAGAGCCCCTCCGAGATTGGATCTGTCTTCTCTGTTTTTGCGTTCTCAAATTCTACCCTTTCATCGTTTCTTATATTGCCGGAGATCCATAACTCCGATTGGGCTGAAATTTTAACACGATCTCTATCCGGATATTAGTTTTCTTACGGCGAAAGAAGGGCATCAACCGCCTTACGGGGTGGCCACGAGGGTCAGGGGCGCGCCCCTGCCTCGTGGCCCCCTCGAGTATCGTCTCGCGTGGATTTTTCTTCACAAAAATCATATGTATTCCAAAAAAAATCTCCGTCAATTTTTATTCCGTTTGGACTCCGTTTAATATGGATATTCTGTGAAACAAAAAAACATGCAACAAACAGGAACTGACACTGGACACTGGATCAATATGTTAGTCCCAAAAATAGTATAAAATTGCCAAAAATATATAAAAGTTGTAGAATATTGGCATGGAACAATCAAAAATTATAGATACAACGGAGACGTATTAGGGCAGGCCGGTGCTTCGGCGCACGGTGGCGCGACTCTGATGGAGATGGCGCGGCGTCGGGGGTTGCGGGCGGTGGCGGCCTCGTCGGCCGATGTGCTGCAGCATGATGACAGGGGTTGTCCGGATCCTTCGAGGTCCGGCCAGGCCTATGCGGGCCTGATAAGCTCCTGTCGTCCCATCCGGTCGGCTCCACGACAGCGATGGTGGTAGTCCCCACCCGTCGACTGAGTGGCGAATGCCCCCGAGCCCGTTGGCTCTTCGTCCCTTTCCCAGGTCTCGTGTCGGTGGCTCAGAGAGGCGGCATTGATGGTTCGATGACCGTGATGGCACATGTTGATGGGCGGCAGTTTTGATGGTGCACTTCTGATTGTTTGGGGTGGTGGTGGTCGTTTGGGTGGGAGAAATCCCTGGTGGCTCGTCCATCATCAACGCGATGACACCGTCATACCTTCCCTTCCCATTGCCCTCTACGTACAGAAAGAAAAACCCTTGGACTTGTTCGGACAACAATGGCGTCGTTGTCGCATTCCTTCCTGAAGATGCTGCCCAGTACGTGACGCCTCGACCTTCCCTTCCCATTGCCCTCTACGTACAGAAAGAGAAACCCTTGAACTTGTTCGGACAACAATGGCGTCGTTGTCGCATTCCTTCCTGAAGATGCTGCCCAGTACGTGACGCCTCGAAGTGCTAGAAGCGCGGCTGCAGTGGCGTCATCGTCACATTCCTTCCTGAAGGTACTGCTCAGTGACATTCCTTCCTTCCTGAAGGTACTACTGCTCAGTACGCGATGCCTCGAGGTGCTAGAAGTACGGTGGTACTGGTACTTCTTCGGAGGATGCAGCGGTTACGCACCCGGCCATCTTTGTTTTGTCGATATGTGGTTGTTGGCATTTATTTCTCTCTTTATCTCATTTTTTTTTTCTTTCTTGGAAACCCCTTTTTCTTACAAGGGATATATGCCAGTTCTATTTAGGGTTCATGTTTGAAGTGTAATTTGCTGTCTGACACAATCCAACGCAATCCAGGAGAGAGTAGCTCTCTATGTCCGACACCGTCTGGTCTGATATAGGCGCAGGCAGGTGAACATTTTGATTATTGAGAACACAGAAATGTCAGCACACAGCTGAGCCTTAAACACTCGTCCTAGCGAATTTCTCCTCGCACACAAGCAGCACGAGCACAAGCAAATCAAGTCAGCACGCACGCACGCACATATAAGCTTCTTGCAGAATAAGCTTACAACCAGTACTAATTTCACATCACAGCGAACTTCAGTAGCAGCCTGACACCTCATGGCGACCAAACAAAGCGAACTAAACACTGAACATCTACCATAATCCAAATTATTGATTCCCACCTAGCAATCTAGACTTTCATCCTAGGTCGCGTGCTTGTCGTCCTTGAGATGGCGCGCCTTCTCCTTCTCCTTCACCTCCGATCCCTGCGACTTGTCATACTCTGCGCACATGAAAACGCGGATCAATTCACCACTCGCACCATGCCACCATCACAGATGCTAGAACCCTAAGATTGTTCAAAATACAGATAAATAGGTTACCAGGATGGTTGGGGTGCACTTCGGTCCCAGGGTTGAGCACCGGGTCGTTCTGGCCGTAGACCCCTCCGAACCCCTCCTCGTCCGACCTCGTCGAGTACCCCTCCCCGAACGAGTGGGTCATCACGTCCCTGCGCCACACCAACACACCGGACACCGTCAAGTTTCCGGCCAACTCCTCAACGGGAGGGGAGGACAAGCTGGTGCAGAGAAATTTACCCGTGAGCAGTGGTGGTCTTGTGCACGTCGTCGCCCTGCTGTCCCCCCGCCGGCGCGTGGGGCTTGTGCTGCTGCTGCTGCTTGCTCGGGTCCATGCCGACGCCCTGGTCGCCTGGCACCGGCGCGGCGGCGTTCGACGTCGCGGAGACGCTCCTCCTCCCTACTTGCGCCGCCGCTGCGGGTGCCGCTAGTCCTCCTGCTGCGGCGCCGCCGCCTGTCTTCCCGCCGAACCGGCCGAGCGTGAAGCCGAGTGCTGTGCTGCCGCTGGTAGCGAGCCTGAGCGAGTACATGAGAGGAAACAGCTCGTCTGAAGACGGCGGTGGCTTCACAGCATCCGGCTGGGGCGAGGTTATAAGCGGTGGCTGGTGCTTGCGGTGGCGCGTCGCGAGAGTGGCACGTTGGGAGGTCGCCTCGAAAGCTCGGCGGATCGTGGCGCGCGCGCACGTCGGGGCCGCTTACACGCGCCGCTCTGGGACTGGTGAAAAGTCTGGCTGTGCCACCGTGACTCGTTGCATGCGCAGAGCAAAGGAGGCAGGCAAAGGGCAAAGTATAGGGACGTGTGCGTCTTCCAAAGAAAAATGGATCGGGACGCGTTGCTGTTTTCGACTTGGGAGGTTTCAAGACGGTGACACGTCTAGACTTTCCTCGCCAAACAACGAATGTCACGGTTTTGCCCCCTTTTCTACAAGGGAAACGTTTACAAACAGTGCGCCGGTCGAAGTGTTCGGCCGGTCGTGCGCGTGCGGCTCGATCTATTGACGATCGAAGCCCCTGCTCTAGCCACGCCATCGCACACGGGGATCAAACACGTGGATACTGGGGCCCAGTAAACCTGTGAATAGTTTGGTTTAGAACCATAGTTTCAATTTGGTTTTGCTGTTGGGCTGCTTTGGTTTGGCTGAAATGGGTTGAGCCCCTATTATAATTTGGTTTGGTGTGGGCTTTTGTAATTAATAGATTGGGTTGGTTTGGTCTGGACGGAGACAAACTGGTCTCAAACCGTTTTAGTCCATGGATAAAAAGTCAGCTCCTTAGGCAAGACCAGCGCTAGGTTTGACCTCACCCCGTTAGGCAAGACCAGCGTCATATAGCGACCAGTTTGACCTCACCCCGTTAGGCAAGACCAGCGCTAGGTTTAGATGCAGCCGCCGCCGTCGCAGACGAGCCACATGAGCATGCGTCCGCCCTGCCATCACCGAGATCTCCGGTGACAAAAGTCAGCTCCTTCATGCAGAACACGAGGAGCTCAGAGCCGAGGCCTTCGATGACGCTGTTGACAATGGAGATGCACGTTGTTGACAATGGAGATGGCAGTGAGCTCGACCTTGCCGATGTGGCCGACGGAGACGAAGCTGATGAGGAACTGGAAGACTCCCGTCAGGATCATGGCCAGCGTCTCCGCGGCCGGCGCCACCATCTGCTCTTTCGGTGCACACGCACAGACTACAAGCACACAGCAAGCTAGCCGCTGTTCGTACGTGCCTCGTATCTTTCGTAGTTCTGTATGTACAGGTTAAGTTTGGGGTTCAACGTTCCAGTTGCTGCTGAGTGACCCATGGTTTGAAACTTTGGGTTCAAACTGTATGTAGAAAATGGTCTGGATGGATTTGGCTTGAAAATACATACAGTTTGGGTTGGTTTGGATTGTAGTTTTTGCAATTTGGTCTGGTTTGGTTTGATCGCTGGACCTATACATGTATGGTTTGGCCTGGGTTTAGTTTGGATTACAAACTATTACCAGGTTTAGGGCCCAGGCACCGCCCGCGACCCGCTACATCTCTTCCTTATCACTTCGTTTAGCTGCGTCTTCCTCCCCCGCTTGTCGCCTCTGGTCTGTGCTGGATGCACCACTATCCATGGCCGCACGCAGCCATGGGGGCGCTCGTCTCCTTGTCCGCCGCACGCAGCCATGGGGTGCTCGTCTCCTTTGTCCGCCGCCTGCAGCCATGGACGCGCTCGTCTCCTTGTCCGCGACAGCTGGTTGCACGCCCTCTCCATGGCCACCGCAGCCAGGTTCGTTGTCGCCATGGACAAGCTGCAATCAGCCACGACAGCGGTGAGTCTGTGCTGAAACCGGTGGGGTATGCTGGAACCAGGTTTTTTGTTTGCTGGATCCACTCATTTGTTTTGCTACAACCCCTTTTTTTTGACGACCAAAAGTGACCCCTCAAGGTCCCCTGAAAGGGGTCACTGTTCGTTAGTGACTCCCCGGATACTGACAAAACAATGACAATTTTCATTGGGCCAAAATCACCTGTTACTATAAACCAGGAGTCCACAGTGACATGGCCAAAACCGGGCGCTGCTAGGGTGCAACTAATTAGCGGTACACTTACTAGTAGAAAACATGGCTTTTTGCTTTGAGCGTGTCAAGCCCATTAGTCCCGCTTCAATCAAAAACCGGGACCCATGGGGGGCATACGTCCCGGTTCGTGCGCCTAGGGGCCCGGCCGGGCCTCGGGAGGCATTTGTCCCGGTCTATGTGGACCCATTTATCCCGGTTCTAGGCACGAACTGGGACCAATGGGCCTCGCTCCTGGCCCACAGCCATTGATCCCGGTTCTTGCCTAGAACCGGGACAAAAGGGGGGCCTTTAGTCCCGGTTCCAGTCACGAACCGGGACCAATGAGTTGCCTATATATACCCCCTCGCCGGCGAGCAGAGCAGTCCACACTGCTCTGTTTTTTTGGCCGGCGAGGGAAGGACATTTGGATGCTCTAGCTCATCTCCTATGCATATGAGGTGTTCGATGAAATGCCCGAGCCACGCTAGTTAAGTTTTCTCCTCCCGAAGCTCGACCTCTGAGCTCCATTTTTCCTGAGATCTGTCCAGGTTTAGCAGTCCGTCACGCCTCGTCCCCGTCTTCACCGCCGTTGATCGCACGCGCCGATCTCGTCGCCGGCACCACCGTGGTGAGCCTCTTGTTCTTATCTTTTTTCTGAAAGAAAAAAATTCTTACTTTAGATAGATACTTGTCTAATTTTCTTACTTTTGACACACATAATTATATATAATGCACGCAGATGAATCAACAATGGATGTACGGCGACAGACACACCTCCGAGTACAATAAGGGCCTGCATAATTTTCTCGAAGTGGCTGAGGCAAACAAGTAGAATGGTTTTATGTGTTGTCCATGCCCTAATTGTGGGAATACGAAGTCTTACTCTGACCGGAAAATCCTTCACACCCACCTGCTTTATAGGGGTTTCATGCCACACTATAATGTTTGGACGAGGCACGGAGAAATAGGGGTTATGATGGAAGACAGCGAAGAAGAAGAGGACGATGACAACTATGTGCCCCCTGAATACGGTGATGCTGCAACGGGGGAAGCTGCTGAAGATTAAGAGGAACCAGACGATGTGCCCGATGATGATGATCTCCGCCGGGTCATTGTCGATGCAAGAACACAATGCGAAAGTCAAAAAGAGAAGCTGAAGTTCGATCGCATGTTAGTGGATCACAAAAAAGGGTTGTACCCCAATTGCGAAGATGGCAACACAAAGCTCGGTACCGTACTAGAATTGCTGCAGTGGAAGGCAGAGAATGCTGTGCCTGACAAAGGATTTGAGAAGCTACTGAAAATATTGAAGAAGAAGCTTCCAAAGGATAACGAATTGCCCGATAGTACGCACGCAACAAAGAAGGTCGTATGCCCTCTAGGATTGGAGGTGCAGAAGATACATGCATGCCCTAATGTCTGCATCCTCTACCGCGGTGCGTACGAGGATTTGAACGCATGCCCGGTATGCGGTGCATTGCGGTATAAGATCAGACGAGATGAACCTGGTGATGTTGACGACGAGCCCCCCAGGAAGAGGGTTCCTGCGAAGGTGATGTGGTATGCTCCTATAATACCATGGTTGAAACGTCTGTTCAGAAACGAAGAGCATGCCAAGTTGATGTGATGGCACAGAGAGGGCCGTAAGAAAGACGGGAAGTTGAGAGCACCCGTTGACGAGTCGTAGTGGAGAAAAATCGAGAGAAAGTACTGGGCTGAGTTTGCAGCTGACCCAAGGAACGTATGGTTTGGTTTAAGCGCGGATGGCATTAATCCTTTTGGGGAGCAGAGCAGCAATCACAACACCTGGCCCGTGACTCTATGTATGTATAACCTTCCTTCTTGGATATGCATGAAGTGGAAGTTCATTATGATGCCAGTTCATCCAAGGCCCTAAGCAACCCGGCAACAACATTGATGTGTACCTAAGGCTATTAGTTGAAGAACTTTTACAGCTGTGGAATGGAAACGGTGTACATGTGTGGGATGAGCACAAACATGAGGAATTTAACCTGCACGTGTTGCTGTTTGTAACCATCAACGATTGGCCCGCTCTCAGTAACCTTTTAGGACAGACAAATAAGGGATACCACGCATGCACACACTGTTTAGCTGACACCGAAAGTATATACCTGGACAAATACAGGAAGAATGTGTACCTGGGCCATCGTCGATTTCTTCCGACCAACCATCAATGTCGAAAGAAAGGCAAGCATTTCAAAGGCGAGGCAGATCACCGGAAGAAGCTCGCCATGCGTACCGCTGATCACGTACTTGCTATGGTCAATGATTTACATGTAATCTTTGGAAAGGGTCCCGGCGGACTAGCTGTTCCGAATGATGCTGAGGGATGCGCACCCATGTGGAAGAAGAAAACTATATTTTGGGACCTACCCTACTGGAAAGTCCTAGAGGCCCGTTCTTCAATCAATGTGATGCACGCGACGAAGAACCTTTGCGTGAACCTCTAGGCTTCTTGGGCATGTATGGGAAGACAAAAGATACACCTGAGGCACGGGAGGACCTGCAACGTTTGCACGAAAAAGACGGCATGCCTCCAAAGCAGTATGAAGGTCAAGTCAGCTACGCTCTTACCAAAGAAGAGAAGGAAATTTTCTTTGAATGCCTGCTCAGTATGAAGGTCCCGACTGGCTTCTCGTCGAATATAAAGGGAATAATAAATATGCCAGAGAAAAAGTTCCAGAACCTAAAGTCTCATGACTGCCACGTGATTATGAAGCAACTGCTTCCGGTTGCATTGAGGGGGCTTCTACCGAAAAACGTCTGAGTAGCCATTGTGAAGCTATGTGCATTCCTCAATGCAATCTCTCAGAAGGCGATCGATCCAGAAAGCATACCAAGGCTAAGGAGTGATGTGGCGCAATGTCTTGTCAGTTTCAAGCTGGTGTTCCCACCATCCTTCTTCAATATCATGAAGCACGTCCTAGTTCATCTAGTCGACGAGATTGTCATTCCGGGGTCCGTATTTCTACACAATATGTTCCC